CGTGATGGCAAGAGCACTTAAAGGCCCCAGAAAAAAATTCTTTGTGAGAATCTGACATTTGAAGTTTCCCTAAAAGAAATCTAGGGATGTCAGATTCAAACTTAATGTTTACAGTTTCTTAATAGCCATTTTACAATATACTGTTTCCATTTAAATTACCCAGCATCCAAATTTTCCATTATCCACAAGCTCACATTTACTTTTGAGGCTCATTTAAAAGTTGACTGCTGTAAAGATATATTTTTGGGTCCGTTTTCCTTTTTCCATTAACTTGGTGGTAGAAAGATATATACTTAGAAATCCTTAAATTAAAGCCATGTTTTATATATACATATATATATAAAAGTCAGGTAACATTGGTGTTTAGATGAGAATGTAATTAAACCAGATAAGTATCTACTTGAGGAGAATGTAGAAAGTTTGTTTTCCTCTAAAGAAGATCTTACTCTGCCTGGTTTATTGCATTAAAACTGTTATGTTTGAGGTTACCTCAACTGGTTTTAAAAGATTTTTTTTTTGTGAAGTTGTACTGTATATTTGCAAAACTGTATGTCAGGCTTTGGTTTTATTTAAAAATTGTTTAACATGTACCATGTACATGTCATTACTATATTTCAAAGCATCATGCTTGTAACAGGCATTTCATTTATAATGAGAATGAGTTATTCATTTGTAAGCCATTCAGTAATTTATCTACTATTCCTAAATTGGCATAATGTTAGATATATATATATATATTTTGAATCACCTTTAATTACATGTCAGAATGCCTTAACTACCCTAACTTGATAAAAATAGCATTCTTTGGTAGAGGGGAAGGGGGGAGGGGAGGGAATGTTAGAATAATGAGAAATTGTAGTGCTGTGATAAAACATGGAAGAGTGAGTGTGGCACGTGGCGGGTATTTATTTTGCACAAACTATTTGCAGTCTATATGTTTTTAAGAACCAGAAGGTTGCATCCAGATGGATTTTTTTGGGGGGGGGGAAAGAAATATGTTCATACTTAGGCTGATGACTTAATTTCTTTTGTTTGGGGTTTTAAATTTCTTCTGGTCTGAGGTATTTGGCCTTATGATCTGGATGTTTTTGCATTAATTTTTCAATGCCTACAATTTTGGTTCCTGGGAAGAGGGGAGCTGGCAAATTATTGGCTACTCTCTGCTCAGACTAAACCCCAAATAGTCTTTATAGAGCTGGACAGGTGGTATTTTATACAGTTTACTTAATCAGCTTAAAGTCTTGCTTGACAAATGGTTGTTAGAGAATACAATTGACAATTTGTTCCCATAATGTTGAGAGGAGTTCTACAGTGGAATGCCCTAGTACTTGACCTAGAGATGAATGACCCAAAGTCTTTTCTCACTCTGTGTCCCTCCCTTCGCCAGTGTTCCCTGTGCTATGTTAGATGTACTCTTTTATAACTGTTAGGTTGTTTTCAGTCAGCTACTGCTCTTTCCCTTTCCTTCAGTGGTTCAAGATTGTTTGGCCCTTTTGAGGAATCCTAGATTTTGGGGAATGACTGTCTGAGCTGTGCCACTTTGTAAGTGTGACTCTAAACCTGATGTTTGTGCTAATGATAGCTTAAATCAAGCAGTATAAGTGAAGCCATTTGTCTCATGTAATGGACTTTTATAGCAAAAGAGAAAATTTGGATTTTTAATTTACGAATTACAAATTATTTATCCCTCACTGGATGCACCAAAGACCAGTAAAGTTTATAGCTTTTCCATCTATATTTATAAAGCAATACTGTATTATAAAGAATTAATATTTTTATCACATGCTTGAAAATTTTATTTTGTTCTGTTTGAAAATGTGCACTCTAAACATATCAAAACCTTATTTCTTCCTATGAACTTAAGCTGCCTGCGCACAAAAAAAATCTACTGAATGGAGATACAGTGGGGTCCATGTGCTTTTTTTTTGCTTTTTTTTAAAAAAAGCCCAGGGTAGAGAAGAGAAGAAAAATAAGGGGAAAAACAGTAATTTTTTTTTTTTGTCCTGTAATAGGGTAATGTAGTGGCTTGACATGATTGATGGGTACTAAACCACAAAGAGAATCCATTCCAGGTATGTTTGTTTGAGGGTTATACTTGTATAAAATATTAGGTTCAGTGTTTTGCTTGATGGAGAAAGTTTCCTCTGTCGAGGGAACTGTTCTGAAGTAAACATCCCACACCAAGTAACCAGACCAGGAGTGTGGGATTTCTTTGGGGAAAGTCAATGTTAAGGATGTGTAGAGAAGGTGGGCTTGGACTACAAAATGTCTTTGCTTTCAGATGTTAATGATTCTTTGTCACCTTACTTGCTGTCTTTTGTTCAAACTACCGCATCCAATTTCCCTGGGAAAAAAAAGTAATACATGTTTTATACTTTAAAAAAATTTGAAATATAAGAAATCAGAATCTGATTCCATATATAGAACTGAACATGTAAAGAGAGAACTAGCATGAGATTTGAATTCAAATTATAGGACATTTGGAAAAAAAAGTTCTGAATTGAAAATCAGCTGTTTGTGTTCAGAGATTACAACTGTATCGGATGGCTTATGGCAAAGTTGGCTAAAATAACAAAGCAAAATTGAATCTGTACCTGTACTAATGAGAATTTTTTTTTTCTTTTGAGACTATCATTACCTGTCTTACAAGAGGCAAGTACCTGAATTGGATGTCTGAAGTATAACTTATGCAGGAATAGTTCTGTATATACATTTAAATAAACTGTAAAGATATTTAATAAATATAGTATTTATACTAAAATGTGTGCATGCGTTTGTTTTCCATTCAAGCAGTAACTGAGTAATATAGATACTGTTTCTTTGCCTTCAGTAGTGATCATGCGTTTTAGAACTGGGAGTATACACAGCCTTTATTAATTCATTGGCCTTGTCATATTCTCACTATTAAATTTCCCACCTCTTTTCCACCAGCTCAGTTCCTTAGAAGTCTCGCATTCAAACAAATGTATGGGCAAGATACGTATTAGATGAAATAGCAGCTTTTGATAATATCTTAACTCTGTGCCTCCTAATTGGGTGAGATGAACCCACAGAGAGCTATATGTCTTAGCTTTGAACTTGGCATCATGGAGTACCAAGAGGCCCCTTGTGATCATTTTGCAATCTAATTTAAAATTGAAGCTCTCAAGTGATTGCATGTGGATAGCAATAGTCTAAAGCAGTGATTCTTAAACTGTGGGTCTCGACCCCATGTGGGAAAAATTTGGCAACAGTAAAAGGTTTCTGAATGTGCAATAACCAAAAATTAATTAAACATCAAACACATAATGAATCCAGGGTGTTTCTGGCAGCGCTTGCCTGTGTTGCATCATGAAACTTCACTGCAGCCTTGGTTCTGAACTCAAAGCCTGCACACTTTGTGCTGTGAATACCATCATGCCCATGCAGCACCAGCAAGTGCTGCAGAATGGGGAAAAGGGATCAAGAGTGGAAAAAGTTTTAAGAATCCCTGGTCTAAAGCCTTGTGCTGCTTGGCCGGGACCTGCACTGTTGTAGAGCACATAGCCATTCTTCAACCTTAGAGCTCCCATCTGCCCACTTTACAAAACTTCTTTGGCAAAAATCTAGTGAAGTAGCCATAGGAAACAATTCTATGCCCCTTCATCTTTCAGTAAGAGTGCCCTCAATTTAGTATTGACTAATCATTTTTAAAGTATTTTATCTGTTTTTTCTCTTCTAAGACCTGTTACAAGGATGGCTCCCCTGGCAGGGAAATGATCATCTTACATAGGAAGGTCATGTAAAAACCAGAAACAAATCAAGAGGTTGATAATGACCTCTCTGAATTTATCACCTGAGAAGTGCAAGGGGAAAAGCTCAGTGAGGACTTAATTTTGTTAGGCTGTTGTGACTCCTTTACCAGGCAGTGAGAGCCAGATTCATTCTGACCCCAGAAATCTATTCCTAACCTGCTGCCTTCATTTGTGGAGTTCTCACATCGTCTGCCAGTTAAGTTTCTCAAAGACTTAACAGTAGGATCTCACAAAGTCTAGTTTGTCAGGTTCTAAATGACTTTAAGCTGGTTTGGGGAAGGGAGAGGCCAACCAAGGGGATATTACGTAGCAATGTTTTTCTCTGTGTTAGATTTCTTTGGTTTGTATTTATCAGGTAAACTACCATCCGTGAAGAGGCAGGAAAAGGTTAAGGTTATTCTACCCTATTCCCACATCTCACCCAAATGCAGACTCTGGTAGTGATGAGTGCTACTTTTTATGGGTGTATGTGCAGTGACATTTTGGGTATCAGCTCCTTTAGTGAAAATTCTTCTTGGTCATACCAAACAAGATTACCCCTTTTCTCACAAAACTCAAGAGACTGGGGAATGTAAAGTAACAGAATGTAGGTACCCACGTTTCACAAATGATAAAGTGATTAGAATTCAGTTTTCAGGGTGGTCCCTCTGGGGCCGAAGCAGTTAACCCTTAACCCAAAATTTCTCAACAGTACAATAAGGGAAAAGCTGACATTACAGTTTACTAGAGTTTGAATCTTTGCACCCAAGTACCAACATTATCCATGAATCAATCGCAAAATAACATTGTGTGGCAAGCTGTGTTGACACATATTAAGGGTTGGCACTGATTCCTACAGGTTATTAGCCATTGAATAAAGATTAAATGCTTTAGTAAAGCAGACTGAGTGCAAAAGCTCTATTGTGAAAGGGCACTGACCTTCTACACTTTGAGAGGGGGACTGAATGTTCAGTTGTGGTCACAGATAAAAGAATGGTGACCTTGTGCCTCCTCCAAGGCATCAGAGATCCCAATATGACCTAGCCTTTACGACCAAAAACATTTAAGAACAGTTGCTATTTAAAGTGATATTTTCAATGCTCTTACAACCAAGAACTCTGAACCCCTTGGGGGGTTCCCTTGTAAACAGAGAACATGTATAGGAACTCATTATACAGATGCACGTTTGAGTGGTGGGTCATCTAGTCGACAGTCTGGAAGTCAAGCTTCTGGAGCCACCATTAAACATTAGAAGACTTGTGATAGTGGACCATTACTAACATCTTCGCTGTCACTCACTGTTGCCAGATTGATCCATGGGTGATTGAAGTCACGTTGCTTAGGTGAAACTGCTCCAAAGAACAGAGAACAAAACTGGTGGGGAGGAAGGGGGAGACAAGTGAATCGCATGGCTTATTTCAAAGTGTGAATTCTAGTACTTCTGAAATACTCCAGAATGACAGCTTTTCACAGAAGCTGGGTCTAAAGGCCTGGACTCATGCTGTTGCTTCAGAGACCAGGGGAGGCATAAGGAATCAGACATTTGAAGATTCAAGTACTATTCTACTCCCACATCCTTCCAAGGAAATTCAGGAAGTTGATGTTACTACTACTGGTCCTAATAATGATAGCATTTATAAAGCACTTTGAGATTTGCAAAGGACTTTACTTGTGTTATCTCAACTTAGTTTTCAAAACAATCTTGAGTGCTATTATTATCCCCATTATACAAAGAAACTGAAGATCATGGGTTGTGATTTGCCCAGTAAGTGTCTAAGGCAGGATTTGAACTCCAGGTTCAAATCCCAGGTCTAGAGCTTCGCACTGTTGGCGCCTATCTCCCTCTGATGATAGTGGCGATGGCCAGACTGGGACAGGTATGAATCCCAGCTTAGTCACTGGCATTCAGTCACCAATCAACAAAACATTTACTAAGCGCTTATTCTGTGACAGACACGTGCTGGTGATAAAATACAGAATTGAGATCCCTGCCCTGTAGAAGCTTATTTGGGATATAAGTTCACATGAGTAAATAGAAGATACATAGATATATCCATATATGTGCAGCTTTAGCTATATACGTATAAATAAAATACAAAAGTTATTTCAGAGGAGGTGCTAATAACTGGGAATCAGGAAAGGTCTCTCAAAGGAGTTAACGTTTGAGGAGCCTTTAAGGGAGCTAACGATTCCAAGAGGTATGAGAGAGAACATGTATAATGGAGAATAACTAATAATGGAGAATATTCCAGGCATGTATTTTATTCTAGAGGAAACAGACACTATTATATAAAGCTCCTTGAGCAGGGAAATTACCTAGTCCAAGGCTGTGCTTTAGGAATATCAATTTGACAGTTTTGTGGAGGATGGCTTTTACAAAGAAAGGATGGATGGAGGGAGACCTATTGGTTATCGCAATAACTCATCTTAACCAAAGTATTGAAAGCCTGGATTTGGCATAGTGGTTGTGTGAGCAGAGGGAACGCACTTGATGCTATAAGTTCTGTGAAGATAGAATGGACAAGATTTGGCAACCGATTGGGTATTCAGGATAAGTGAGAAAGAACAGGAGGTAGCAAACCTGGGTCACTTGAAAAAATAGGAATGTTAAGAAGAGGGCTGGGTTTAAGGGTGAAGATGTGGTTCTATTTGGGGACATTTATTTTGATATGCTTATGGGACATCCAACTGGAGCTCAGAAGAGAGTTGAGAACTGGATACACAGACTTCAAACATCTGTTTAAAGATGATAATTGAATCCACAGGAGCTGCTGGAATCATTGAGAGTTTAGAAAGAGAAGGGAGCAGGAAATTCTGGGAAGATGGTGGAGTAGGTCAGAAAATTCAGATTTCCTCCACTAATAAGACAGACAAGCACCTCAGGGTGAATGTAGAGCAGCAAAAATAAACCAGAGTTGGAGTGAGTAGAGCAGTGGTCCTCCTGGAGAAGACCTGAGGGTCCTGAGGTTTGGCTCAAGTGAATTGTAAATACCTCCAGGCCTTCTCAGCTGGAACAACAAACAACAAGCCCTGAGGAGAGCTGGGTTGAGAGGCAGTCTCAGCCTAGGCCCCAGGAATCTTCACCTCACAGACGGTGTGGTAGTCAGACATCTGAGCAGGGGAAGATTGAAGGGCCCTTTGCTGTTGAGGGATGCCAGACCCAGCTGTGCTGACCAGATGTGGTCCTGAGCTGTAGCTGATGTGGAGGAGGAGCTAGCACATGCCTGGGGAGTGGGGTAGGGATGCTGCCGGCTGTGGGCACTTACAGGAAGGCTGAGTTCCTAGTTTCACTTCCAAGCCAGAGAAGACAGCTGAAGGTTGCAGTGGCTGGAGGGTCTGCAGGGAGCAAGAGTGCTTCCAGCACAGCATGACTGAGGGCTCTAATCATGGCTTGGTAGGAGTGGAAAGGAGGGCCCAAGGTTGGGCCTAGGACAAAGCTCAGAAAATAACGGCCAGGGGCATCATTCTCCACACCCCAGGACAAGAGCTGATTATAATAATAAGCTGCTAAAAATAAAATTAAAATTAAGATGAGTAAGCAAAGGAGAAAGAACCCAACCATAGACAGCTACTGTAGGGACAGAGAAGATCTGGGTTTGTATTCAGAGGAAGATACTGAAGTAAAAAAAGCCGCTCCAAAGGGCAATGTCAAATGGTCACAAGCCTAAAAAGAGTTTTGGGAGAACTTAAAAAGGACTTTTAAAAAAAGGACTTCAGAAATCAGAGAGATAGAGGAAAAATTAGGGGAAAAAATAAGAGCAGTCCAAGAAAATCAAGAAAATTGTGGAAAAAGAGATCCAGAATCTTAAGGAAGAAAATCACACCTTGAAAACTAGAATTGGGCAAGGGAAAGTGCATGACATTACAAGACACCAAGAAATAACAAAAACAAAATCAAAAGAATGAAAAAATGGAGGAAAATGTGAAACATTTCATTTGGAAAACAACTGATCTGGAGAACAGATCAAGAAAAAACAACAAAAGAATTATTGGACTACCTGAAAGTTATAATCAAAAAAAGAATCTTGATATAATTTTTTTTTAAGGCAATTGGGATTAAGTGACTTGCCCAGGGTCACACAGCTAGTAAGTGTGAAGTGTTTGGTTTGAGGCTAGATTTGAACTCAGGTCCTCCTGAATCCAGGGCCGGTGCTCTATCCACTGTGCCACCTAGCTGCTCCTTCTTGATACAATATTACAAGAAATAATTAAAGAAAATTGCCCTGGAGTTCCAGAAAAAGAGGATAAAGTAGAAATAGGAAAAATCTACCAATCACCACCTGAAAGAGATCCCAGGACAAAAACCTACAGAATATCATAACCAATTTTTCCAGGTTCAGGGGCAATTATAAGCAACAAGAAAAAAAAATAATTCAAATACTGCAGAGCCACAATCAGAATTATACAAGACCTAGCAAGTGGCTATACTAAAAGACCATAGGTCTTGGAACACCATATGTAGAGTATACTCCTGAATGAAAAAAAAAAAATTGGACATTTAATGAATAGAAAGACTTTCAGGTATTTGTCACAAAAAGACCAAAATGGAAAATCCAACATATAAGATCCAGGAGAGATATAAGCTAAACATCAACGAACAATTATGAGGGACTCAATTAGGTCAAACTGTTTACTTCTTATAACTTACATGTGAAAATGTTATCATTTATTCTTAAGACTGTCATCAGTACTTGGGTGGTTTGAAAGAAAGGTTGGAGCTGAGCTGAGTATCATAGGGTGATTCTAAAAAACAAAACTGGGTAAGAAAAGGTAAAAAAGAGCAATTATCTCATGCAAATGAGGCATGAGACAAAAAACTGATAGAGCAAACAGGTGAATGTGGAGGGCTGGTAGTACTGGAACCTTACTCTCATCAGATCAGGGAACAGCATATACATCTAGAAAGGTATAAAAGTTTTCTAAATTTATAAAGAAGTAAGAGGGCAAGAGGACAGGATGGGGGGGTGTTAGAAGGTATGTAGTTTAAGATTTAGGAGGGTGGGGGAAAGGAAAAGTGAAAAATTCTTGTAGGGGTGGGGTAGAATAAGGAATAGGATGGTAAGGGGAAAATATAAGGGAAGGATTCTTTAACAGGGTGTGAATTAGGAAGATAGTGATTAGAAGTAAACTAGAGGAGGGATAAAGTGAAAAGAGGCTGAGGAGGACAACAATGAGGAGAAATAGGATGGATGGAAATACACAAAGAGTAATTATAACTTTGAATGTGAATGGGACGAACTTACCTGTAAAAAGGAAATGGATAGCAGAACAGATTAAAAATCAGAATCAACAATATGTTGCTTACAGTAAACACATTTAAAAATGGGAGATACACACAGAGTTAAAATAAGGAACTGGAGTAGAATTTATTATACCTCAATGAAAAAAAAAAGAAGGGGTAATAATCATGATCTCAGATAAAATTAAAGTTAAAATAGATTTAGTTAAAAGAGATAAATAGAGAAAGTACATTATGATAAAAATTACATAGATAATGAAGCAATATCAATACTAAACCCATATGCACCAAATACTATAGCATCTAAATTGTTAAAAGAAAAGTTAAATGAATTACAGGTGGAAATAGTAATACTATAATAGTGGGGGACTTTAATTTTCCCCTCTCAGAAATAGATAAATCTAACCAAAAACTAAATAAGAAAGAAGTCAAGGGAATGAATAGAATTGTAGATATGATAGATATCTGGAGGGAATTTAATGGGAATAAAAAGGAATACACCTTTTCTCGGTGGTACATGGTACCTTTACAAAGATTAACCATATATTACAGCATAAAAATTTTATAGCTAAAAGCACAAAGGCAGAAATAGTAAATACTCTCTTTACAGATCACAATGCAATAAAAATTATATTTAATAAGGGACCATGGAAACAGAAAAAAATTAATTGGAGACTAAACTACATAATCTTAAAGAATTAATGGATTAAGGAACAAATCATAAAAACAATTTCATTAAAGAAAATGACAATAATGAGACAACATCAAAACCAATGGGATACAGAAAAAGCAGTAATCAGGAACATTTATATCACTAAGTGTTTATATCAATAAAATAGAGAAAAAGCAGACCAATGAATTGGGTATACAATTTTAAAAACTAGAAAAAGAACAAATTAAAAATCCCCAAATAAACACTAAATTGGAAATCCTAAAAATTAAAGGTGAAATTAATAAAATTGAGTGGAAGAAAACCATTGAATTAATAAATAAAACTAGGAGTTGGTTTTATGAAAAAAAATCAGTAAAATAGATAAACTATTGGTTAATATGATTTTAAAAAGAGAGAAAACCAAATTACTAGTATTAAAAACAAGTATGACTATACCACTAAAAAGATGAAATCAAAGCAATT